GTGTCACATTTACACTACCCCTCTGAAACCGATCTGTGCTTGGATCAGTTAACCATGCTGAGCTTAGTTCTTATGACCATTTACACATCACGCTAGCACGTTTTTTTTGCCTCCTCTCACGGTCCAAGATACTAAAATGGCTGCCCCGAATACATTCGGGAACATATGCACCTGGATAGCGTCCTCCGCCCAAAATTCAATGACAGCCTTGGTCTCGACATCATCCCATGTGACGCCTTTATTGTTAATAAACTGAGAAGAAGTTTGTGTTGTGAACAGGTTAAGAGATTGGGAAATGTAAAGCCAGATATGCCAGAAAACCTGATAAATGAGTCAGCTGACTGTGAATAGGAGATGATCCGGTCTGCTCATGCGCTCTTTGTTACCATAGAACCAAGTCACAACTGAACCGTACCGAGCCCTACTGTTGAACTAGTACTAGATTTAGCATGCTTTGGCTGTGTCTGGCACCGTCCAGTTTAATTGCGTTCCATTTTCATTAAACAGTTATCTTGGTTACCGTGCTTGGACTATGCTCGGCGCTGTTTCAAAAGTCTAGTGTAAATGGGGTAATGTATTTATTTTTCTTCATCGTCCTGTCAATTTTTAGCTGATTTTCCTTTATTATAGAGACAACATGTGTCCCACTTTCTCATCAGATTCTGCCACCTTCATGCTTTACAGTAGTGATGTAGTGCTGATGATAATATTCTTAGTTTTCCACAACACAAAACCTTTTTTAAAGATTTATTTGAAAACTTTTGATACATTTTTAATCTCACTGCACAATTTTCCAATTTAAATTTGAATTTCAAAAAATTTAAGTATCAGTTCTCTTCCACTTCATAATTAGGTTATACTTTATTTTGGTATTTAATATAAACCAGAAAATGTATCGAGTCTTAAGGTTCAAACCATACCCAATGAAAAAGAAAAAGGTTAAACTTCACAAATTATTTTCACTGAACTAAAATAAATAACAAAGCTACATGACAAGATGGAAAGCTCAGTTGGTGAAGAAAGTAGATCTGCCTGCCTTCAGTTTTCCAGCAAAGGAGAATATGTCAGCCAAAGTAGGCAGTATAGTAGCCCACTCATATCAATCTGTCAGGACAAGATGGATACCTCAGAAACACACAAGAAATTTAAACAATGCACAATACAAGCTTCACCACTGGCAGGGGCATAGATCAATGTTATTTCCTGCTTTTGCAAAAATACCTAATTCCCCTTATTTAATCAAACGTCTCCTTGCTCTGGACGCCCCAGCTGATTTATGACACCAGCTGTCTTTATGAGTATCTGCTTCATTTTCTTGTCTATGCTTTGACATCTAAAGTGATAGGAATTTTATGCTTTTGATAACAATATGAGTTTCGCTTTGGCCCAGAATTCATGGCCATGTCAGTGGCCAATAAATAACAACAGAGAGGAGGAAACATTCGCATGCTTTCAACAGAAAACATCCACCCTTTGGGATTTATCTTAAGATGGAAGCAGAGAGGACAGAGCCATGAGCAGGAAGGAATACACACAAAGAGACACAATCTATGACAGGACAGCAGAAAAGGTGGGATAACAGTTAAAGGTCAAGCCAACAGCATGTAGAACAAGATATGTTGACTCTTCAGGATTTATAACTGCTGTGATCATTATTACACACTAATATTGTCAATAAATGAAATGACTGATTCTACAGCTACGTACAAAATGTTGAAAGAATATAAAAAGCTATATTTAAAAAATCTACATTGCCCTAAATCTATTTTGTCTTTTAGTTTTCGTTTTTTTTTATGCACAATGGATGCCACCACCAGGCACTTCAGAGACTACTACAAATTGCATCAAGTAATTTATTTGATGAATAAGCAATCCCTCATACTGGGCATGTAGTTACAGTTGAAAGAAAGACTCTTTTAACAGTGATTGGTCTACGGTCCCATACGACTGGAAGTCAGAAGACTGAGCAGATACAAAGAGAAACACAGAGGTTCTCCTCCAGAAGTACCTTTTCTGTTCAAAATAGTAATGTTAGACCAACCCCACAAATTGCTTTGTATAGCTATAAGAAATACAAGTGTGTAGATTATCTCTGGGCCAGTTTTCAGATTCAGAGAATGAAGGATAGCACATCAAATCATTTACTGTCTAAGCTCAGCTATTTATAGAAGGAAAACAGCTAAAGGTAAAAGACAGGCCAAATATACAGTATCTTCTATAGCCCTGTCTCATTTGCTTAACAACAAAGTATAATTCAATAACTTATTAAATTCATAAAGTATCCTGGTATATTGTGTGAGAGAGATTTGGCAATCATTGTAGATGATTGACAAAAGTACTTATTTTTAGTCTTAAGACTTATCACAAGCATTCAATCAATAATCCTTTTTGATAACAAAAAACATAGCAAAATATGTGTGATTCTAATGACCTTCAAATTTGACGGAAATTATAATTTATTGGGGTTCAATAAATGAGCTAACTTAAGAATTTAAAATGCATTTATTTAACTTAAAAATTTATTTTTAGTTTAGGAAGGACTCAATGAACTTGCCTTCTGCAGTTTTGCAACTGAATTACTTGAATAAAAGCAACAGGTAGTGCACCTTAGTTTTCAGACTATAACTCTGCCTGTTTTTCTAGTCAGGTTACTTTATTTCATCCGTTTTCTTTTTCCTTCATCAGCCGAACATGCAAAATGAAGACATCCTACATAGGGATGTTTCTGCCCTCCCTAAAAATGACTGGAACTGGAAGTTCAAATGCGCAGCAGATATCAGCCCAAAACATTCAACATGACCATACTGACCATAATGTGTGGTTATAACTTGTTTTTTAAAACCACTTGTTTCTCCTTCTATAAAGCATACTTCCCATTTATCTCTGGCTATTGCAAAGTGTGAGAAAGTGATTCTCCCAAACTTCTCATAAGTGTTAGAAATATTATTTTAGTTCATTTTGAAGGGATAAGATTTATATTGACACTTTACACATTCCATTGGCATATTGTCTTTTTCTATGTTGTTGCCAAAACCTACTGGTCACCTAGGCAATGACATTAAACTGAGTGAAATGGCTCTTTGCGTGTGATAAAGTCAAACAAAGATGACGCACTGTACCCATGACTATTTCTAAGGAATAGAGGTAAAATGTCAAGCATTTCAAAAGAGATTGGCCATAAAGCATGGTTATGGAGACTATAACGAATCATTGCTCAGACCCAAAGGTCTCTTTATTCTCGGCACCGTCTGCTCCTTGCTAACAGAATATTATTGGCTTGAGTGAAAGAAAAGAGTGTGTGTTTGGTTTTTGTGTATCACTACTTGAGTCCTGTGTGTGTTTGGCACAGGGGCCTCACAAGAGTGCAACGAAAACAAAAGAAAGGGTTACCACAAGTGTCTGGTGGTATAGGGGCTTGAACTGGCGCAGACTCTTGGCATGGAGACAATGCATGTTAGGACGACTGTGTCCAACAGGAACAGAAGCTGCTTGGAGCTGCATCAGCATCTCAGTGGGGCCACAGAGGAAGAAGAGAAGGAAACAAGATCAGAAGCAGAGAGGAAAATTGAGACAGATTTTCTTTGCAGGTGTTGAGATAATGGACGAACAAATGATGTAATTGTTGGTGCATTACAGAGAGAATTGAGTGGGGAAGGCCCTAACATGGCTTGCGGAGGAGGTTCTAGGATCTTTGAAAAAAAAATTTGAATCACAAAGAAGAACTGGATGAAATATACAAAAGAGAAGAATTTGGATGGCTCAAATACAAGACATTTTTTATTTAAATTTCGTCAAGCTGTTTTTCTTTCAGTTGTTTCTTTAAAGCAAGCCAAGAAACAAATTACTTAACATTTCAGAAAAGATACATTTTGAGCATTTTGAAATTACATACCAGGCTGTTAAAATACTTTTTGTTTGTTTAATGTCTTCTCAGGGTTTAAACTATATTTGCTGGTATGTACACTAAGCCACATGTATCGTTATTCACATTGATCATTTCAGTTTATACCTTGCTTGTTGTATTGATTAATGTGTCAAAATCCCTTTTTTCTTTCCTGGAGGATGATCCAAGGTTTTTTATAATAGAAATTTTTAGATTCAGTGTGCAAGGCCAGATTCTTGTTAAGGATTCCTTGTTAATGCCCTGTAGATGATTAGAATAAATAACATAGTTTAGAATCGCAAGCAAATCTAAGGTGTTCAAAAATAACAATATGGTGTAAGTTAGTGTTGTGGTGGAACACAGCTAATTACAATCACAGGATGCTAAAGTATTCATTATTATAACACGAAGTGGAATGACCTATACCTATAGAGGTATAGGTCAGGGAAGCTGGGACAGTGGAATCTGAACACATATGTAAATCTTTTGCTGATGCAACTCATTACAATCATAAAGATAATAGGAAGTACATTCATAGTTCAAATTTTGCTAGTTATGAAATATCCAAATAAAGACTTGTCCGCATATGATTCACCCAAATGAATGCAAATAACTAATGACTTATCAATTAGTCATTTAAACGAGAATTAACACATATGGTTTGTAAGCCATTACTATAGGTAGCTCACGCAATGTTACAGAAAGTTCAATGGCAGTACAGGGTTTTCAGTGTCTTTCTCTTTCATCTGTTGGTAACTTTTATTTTTTTTATTTTAAATGATGACTCAAAACAGCTGCATATCAAGAAAATACTTAAAACTTTATAAGGAGTCATTTAGTCAGGACACAGTGTTGACTAATACAGCAATACTAGAATAATTGCATAGTAGGTAGCATCTTAATCACATCTGTAGTAATCTAATCCTTTTTTTCTATTTTGCATTCCCTTTAAATCTGTCTTACAGTTTCATTATCAAGCAATTCAAGAGCTCTTATCAAAGCATATCATTTAGTAGTTTACAGTATTAGTTATGCATTTTCTTAAAGGTGCAGACTTTTAACTTTGAAACACATTTACAACCATTCTAATCAACCACCTCTGCTTTAAATTATTCAGGAACATGGCCCGGTCCCATCCATATGGTGAGAAAGGAGAGAAGATATATTTGGAGCATCACACTTTTAAGAGCGTGAGCCTTAACTCCCCTGGGTCATTTTCTGCTTTGGTCTTAATTGAGAGTGTTCTTGAAAAATCATTACTATATTAATGATTTAACACAAAGTAACTACCTGCTTTTTTCCAGGAGGAAAGTGAGATTTGCCTCCAATCAATACCCATGCACACTCATTATAAGGCAGGTAAAGTTATAGTAATTAGGCAGACACCAATAACTTTTTAATGATCTTTGTTTTTAATTGCATATTATCGGTTTGCACGGTGTGTGTGTTTACACCCAAATATAAGATAATGGTAAAAGGAGAAGTAGATTAAAGAGGAGCCAACAAGTTTTTTTTCTTTCTTTTTTTTATTCCTTTCAGCAGCAACAGCAGATAAGTCTGCGGAGTAAAGTGAGTATGAATTCAACCAATGCCTCTGGGTAATTTCTTTTGTTTGCATCAGTTTTACCACTAATGTGCCTACACCCGCTGTCTGGGATTTTGAAATATTTGTAAAACACTTCCCTTCCTGCTGTCTATGAGGGCGAGGAAGTGAAAGCACTGCAGGAAAAAAAGGGCTCAAGGAGCCTTTAGAGAAATGAAAACATTAATATGTTAGTTAACTTAAAGGCAGGTTACAATGTCATATTCGGTGTAAAATGATGCCTTACAGGTAAAGTGAAAATTATCAACAGTAAAGTTTACATTTTAGGTAATTAAAGGCAGTCTGCCAATGGATAGAAGGGTTTCATGTTGCCTGTATAATAAAGGTAATAAAAATATAAATGAAATTCAACGTAAGTGTGGCCATCTGCCAGCTATTAAAGGGGAAGTAGTCTATTTAAAGTAGAGGAGAGGACTATGTCTACCACAAAATGGGAAGAGAGAGATATTCGCTAACAGAGCCCAAGAAGGCCTAGCTGGCAATCCAGTACCGTTTGTATGCAAGAGAGCTATCATTAACCCCTCCCCACACTCTCTCCACCACCATCCTCACATGGCCTGTTCGGTGTGGCCCGCTCCCCCAAAACACTTCAGCAGATTGTTGATTCAATGACTCCCCCATCAGGTGATTATCTAGGAGCTTTAATGTAATCTTCCATTCACACGTACCATATTTAAATTACGACTACCATCGTGAAACATGCTGCATATTCAATTCGACGATCGCTCTGCCGCCACCTCAACAATGTCAACTGTAAAACAGTGCCAGCTGAAGGCAATTACACATGTTTTCAGAGCCAATTATGATCGCTCTCACTGCAGCAGTTATGCCACAAGCAAGGGAGTGTTCAGAAATTTTTAATTTAATGACAATATGCTCATAGCAGGATTCGGCAGGCTGCCCCTGCTCCCTGGTCTGCCGTCTCAGAATCCACAGAGGGGACCATTAGGTAGACAGGAAAAGATGATGGCTCCTCTCAAGGGCCACACTGGGAGCACTGGGAGGGACTCAGGAGTGTAGGGTAGATAGCATACACTCATCTTTTCTAAGTGAGCACAGCTGCCAGGGCAAAATACAAACTGGAAAGATGAGCTGTATTGGTTCAACGTTCAGTTTGGTAACAGATGACGGTGGGAGCTCAGATTCCCACGTGCTTATAGCTTAGCAATAGACATAGGCAAGATGATATTCTCATGGAATGTCAATACTCAATTAAATATGATCGTTGTAACTATAACATAATCTACATTTATCAGTAATCATTATTTATCCTTAAATACCATGTTCATATGGGTGCTTAAAATCCTTAAAAATTCTTGAATTTCAATTTATGTTTTTAAGGATTAAAAAATGCTCCAAAGTGAGTCTAGTCCTGGTAATTGCTGGAGATTTTAATCATAAATATCTCACAACAAATAGACAGCTCACAAAATATAATGCTTATTAAAAAGAGAGAAATAAAGTAGTAAAATAAAAACAAAATATTAACCGCATTGTCTGGTGTGCCTCACGCAAGCCTTTGGGTCAGTGTCATGCCAGTCTGTTGCCATGCTGACATAGCTCCCAAACGGACAGAATGCCAAACAACCATGTTGGGAGTATGTTATTTTAATCAACTGCAGCTGGAAAATATTAAATATATATGGTGGCTCAAAAACGGAGCAAATCCAACATTTGGCAAAATGCAAAGTATGCAGAAGAGAGATTTGGCTTTTTGCAATGGGAGAGTCATCACTCTCTAGTCACGTGAACACTAAGTCATGCAGGCACTTGCTACAATGTTAGCCGTACATGTTCAATTTTTCTTTTTATTTATACTACTAGCTAGCTACATGCTAACCATACATTATATAGAACCCCTTCTAAAGATGTATATACAGTGGGGAATAGTAATAAGGTGTCTTTCCAAAAGAGGTATTCCCACCAGAATTAGGCTGTGTCCAAATGTCCGCCCTAATCACGATATAGGGCACTATACAATTACACCATTTTAGATGAGTGTCTAAACATCTAGTGGATGAAAAAGTTGTAGAATCGAAATTACCCACAATGCACCTTGAAAAGTAATGATCATCCATGGTCACTAGACGGGCAGATATATCCTTGAATATATAGCTATCCCAAAATTATCACTTTGCAATAGCTCTCCTCCCTAAGCATTATGGAATGTGTTGTAACAGCAGGCCGTGGCAAATAACAAAGATGTTGCATGCACCGTGCAGGGAGGTGGAGGTACGTGACAAACGGAACAAAAAGAAGTGATCATCTCTCTGAACAGTCAGTTAACTGAGTTCCCTATGAATTCCACTATAATGTCCCCGGTCTATATAGTGAATGAGGAATTTAGGGGTAAGGTTGGACATTCATTAGAGCCACAGTTGTTTATGAAAAAAGAGAAATTGCCATTTTGCGTGTGCTTGAACTTGTGTCGTATTATGCAATTTACAACCGGTTAAGGTACTGGAAAATTTTGAAAGTTCTTGAAAAGAACTTCAAATGAAAGCATGAAAAATATGTATGAACCCTGTAAATAACATGAAAACGCAAAATCTGAGTTATAACGTATGGTAATTGTTTTTCTGGTCGTTTTTTTTTTGTGTTTGTTATTGGTTTTTTCAAATATAATTTAGTAGCACTGTAATTGTGTCTGGTAATCTGTCGGTGACTTTGGCTAAATCTAGCTTAATCGATTACTTGGGTTTTTTAATTCTACAGTATTTATATTGACAGAATATATTTAGACATTTCTCAAAATGTTGATATATAGAGTAACAACCAGCTTCCATGAAAAATGTGTATATTCACCTCACAAGAGCTACAGAATACTGTTTGCCCACATATTTTGAGTTGTTATTTAATGATAACATAAATCCTAGAGAAATCAGCTTAGTTGATCAGTTGATTTGTCCCTAGCTGCCACTAAGATGTTTGTATAAAACCCTGTCATCAGTTCTCAGGAGTAAAGGTTGATAGAAGAAGACATAGCCTCCATCCCTGGGAGATTGGTGAATGCAACACATATATTAATGCATTAAATGTGTTGGCAGTGCTCAGCCCTGGGACGCAGGAGTGGAAGAGAGAGAGAGGTTAGGGAGAGCGAGGGAAGAAAAAAAGCTGATGTAATGTATGGTGTTGTCTTGTATAGCATGTCTGGCAGGAGGAGAAGGAGGTGGTGCTGGGAGGTGTGTTCCAGCCAGATTATAAGGCCTGTGCTGAGAGATGAGGGATAGCCGGCTTGTAAACAAGTGACAAGCGTCCTGGATGACAATTCCTAATCCATCATAGGGCTGTCAGCGGTGACCGGTGGGGTGACGGACAGGACCCAGGAGAGGGGACAGCTGCTGAACGTCAATCCACATCATAATTTGAAATGCTTCTCCACATGAGCTAAAACAGAAAGGAAAAAGGAAATAACGTACTATCTGATACCTCTGTCACCTCAATAGCCATTCCTTCCCCTTCCTAATTATTTGCGTGACTTTTAGTGCTGCCAAACTTGTGATGTTCCCTTCCTTGTAAGACACTGAAATGACAACAAAAAACAACAATAACAAAATAAAAAAACATGGTCATTATGGAGGCCAGGCCAACAATGCCCCTAACGACCCTTTCAGAGAGATAGACCAATTTTGGGTATTGCAGGCTAACAAAGACTTCACGACTCCCTATTCCTAAAAGGTGGACCCGTTCTTTAGGTTCAATTAGCATGTTTTCTAAGCCAAAACAAGCCTTTGTTTTGGAAGACTCTATAAAGCTTGAAACTCAACTCTAAATCTGTCATTTTGAATTAAAAAAGCTTCCTGGATGGGAAGCAAAATGTCTTTAAACTTGGAAACAAAGTCCAGTGGATTGTTTTTGTTTTTTTTGTTTTTTTGGAAGAGCCACAAACATTTGTACTAAAGCTCAGAACTTCAAATAATTCATTCAGGATAATAAATTAACTTTTCTTCTTACATGTTGACATCAAATAAATAGAATTTGAAAAAGATTTTCTCAAATTTTTAATGGTTGAACATTCATGCTGTACAAGGAGACCTTGTTCCATCCCTTGTAATTTGCCTTGTGTAACAAAGGTGTCCATATTTAAAAGACTATATTGAGGATTGAACACTTTTCAATTTCACCATTAACACTTACAGAAAATTTTAAGATAAATTTTCTTGTAAGTACTTTAATGAACATATGCTTTATTTTTTTGTATTTTCTTCTGTTCTGTTTTCACCAGAACTTGCCCATCCACTTTCACTCCTATTGAGACCTTGTTCCACCTCTTGTAATTTGCCTTGTGTAACAAAGGTATCCATCTTTAATCCATCTTGTTGAAGATTGAAGACTTTTTAATTTCCCCTATAAAGGATAGAAAAAAATTCAGGATAATGTTTCCTGTAAGAAAGAAATGCTTTATTTTTTTGTATTTTCTTCTGTTCTGCTTTCATCAGAACTTGACCATCCACTTTCACTCCTATTTTTATGTCTCAGCAGACTGAATCTCTTGCTCAGAGACACCGTCCTAAAAAACTATGTACTTTAGTCAATGCCAATCGATGTTTGAGATTTTTTGTCTTTTGGTTTTACTTTCAGCATTTTTTGTTAACAAGATCACTATTGTGTTCCAGGTGGTGCTCCGTTAGTTTGCTAGTTTGGATTCAGGTTTTTATTTTCTCTCATTTTCTGTTTATGGTGCATTTCCAGTTCGGTTCTGTAAGATTTATACTTTAGTTAGATAATGCCATTTTATCTGTACAGTTATATTAAGGTTTTAGTCTCCATTCTGCCACCATGCAGTCAGCTCATTCAGTACATCTGCCGATTCATTTAACTCATGTTCCCCAACTGTCAATGTGATATCTAATCCCTAAATCAAACAGAGTCTCTCATCCATGTGTCCTCCATTTAATCACAAATAGCAGCTTTTCTAGTCAGTGTGGTAATTCCTACTGACTCTGTTGCGCTGCAGCACAGGTCCCCTCCATCATCTATCAGATGCATGGATGGAGTAATGCATGACAGAGCAAAATGTATTTTTAACATTTTTAGGACACTAAGAATGTATATTTCTAAAAATCAGATTAACCAGAATGAAATCTAGACAGGTGGAAAGTGCAATTAATACAGTAAATTTTATAATAAAAGGGGATGTATGAATAGGTCCTGTTTGCATCGAGTGAGGACTGCTCTATATTCACGTTTTGATGCAGCAGAAATCTAAAGTGGTATCTGTAAAGTCAGCTTCTGAAAATGCTATTTTTAATTAATGCCATGCCATCATACCTAAGTTACGTCCGCTAAGTTCCTGTGCCTGTTTGTTATAGACTTCATTTTGTTCTATGCATTTCAAAAAAGTTAAAAACAATCCACTGGACTTTGTTTCCAAGTTTGAAGACGTTTCGCTTCCCATCAAGGAAGCTTTTTTAATTCAAAATGTCAAAAATAGCGTTGACTTTAAAGCTTTATAGAGTGGACCAAAACCCAGGCTTGGTCCAAAACCTGAATCCAAAAAGTAGCAACCTAACAGAGCACCAGCTGGCACACAATACTGATTTTGTTGACAAAAAAAAAAATGCTGAAAGTAATACTAAATGAAAACAAATCTCAAACATCTATTGAAAGTGACTAAAATACGATTGCAAAAATATTTGCAGGATTGTGTCTCTGAGCAAGAGATTCAGTCTGCTGAGACATAAAAATAGGAGTGAAAGTAGATGGTCAGGTTCTGATGAAAGCAGAACAGAAGAAAATACAAAAAAATAACGCATTTCTTTCTTACAGGAAACATTATCCCAAATTTTTTTCTATCCTTTATAGGGGAAATTAAAAAGCCTTCAATCTTCAATATAGGCTTTTAAAGACCTAACCTTTGTTACACAAGGCAAATTACAGGAGGTGGAACAAGGTCTCCTTGTACAGCATGAATGTACAAAAGCAAACCATACAAAATTAGAGAAAATCTTTTTCAAGCTCTATTTAGTTGATGTCAACATGTAAGCAGAAAGTTTAATTTACTATCATCAATAAAGTATATGAAGTTCTGAGTTTTAGTATAAATGTTTGTGGCTATTCCAAAAAAGTAAAAAAAAAAAAAAAACAACCACTGGACTTTGTTTCCAAGTTGGAAGATGTTTCGGTTCCCATCCAGGAAGCTTTTTCAATTCAAAATGCGAGAATTAGAGTTGAGTTCCAAGCCTTATAGAGTAGCCCAAAACAAAGCCTTGTTTTGGATTAGAAAACATTCTAATTGAACCGGACGAACGGGTCCGACCCTCAGGAATGGGCAGTCGTTCTTTGTTAGCCTGCAATTCCTGATGCCGGTCTATGTCTCTGAAAGGGGTGTCGTTAGAGGGAATTGTTGGTCTGGCTGAACAGGTGAGATATTCTGGTATGCGGGTGGGGGTTGCGATGATAGTGGGAAGGAATCAACTCTATCGCTGCATTGTAGGTTTTTGAAAGCTGAAACCTGAGTCCACCCCTTCTGTTTAAGGTTGTTTTTTACTTTCTTAACATAGATGGCTTCCTTCACACCCCTCTCAAACAGCTGTCTTCTTTGTCCAAAATGTGAACATTAAGACAGACGTGTTGCAAGCTATTTTACCACTTGATCTGATGATTGTCATTAAAAGTAAGACTGAACCCTGTAATTATTCTCTTGTCGGTCATTTTATCTCTGCCTCCCTCTTGCCACAATGTTTTTAATATGCACAAACTTCAACTGTAACTTAATGGAGGTTTGATAAATTCCAATTGATAATTAATAACTTAATATATCATCCAGGCAGTATTTTGCACGTTGCTTTGACATGTTGTGGAAACAATGATCTGATCCTGAATGTAAATAAAAGACAGGTAAATTTCAGAACAAGGAGCATTAGAGCAAATTACTTGAAGAGGCTCAACAAGCTAGTAATGAAGGTCATCTTTGTTCCTGGAGCTCCTCTACAATGTCTGAAGATGGTTTAGAAAAAGGAATTTTTCATGAAATGCAAAACATTAAAGACAGCATTGAGCATGCATTTCATCAGATTGTTGTAAACAGAATCCCTTTAATTAGAGGATATACTGTACTGTACCACTGAAAGCCAAACTGTTACACTAGATCTCTTTCGTCTACAGCCATTAGCTTTAACAACAAGTTATTGAAGACACCCTTAAAAAGTTAGAACATGTATGCCTCACCTTCTAAAACAAATAATAATGGGTAAAATATTAAATATACTGTGCATGTTATTTTGCCCAGTTAATGCTTGCTGTGCTCTTTTTATAGATAAGGTTTGCACACATGGTCAGGTCAGCATGTTTTTATTTTATGAATAAGCTAAGCACTAAATTAAACTACATTTTTAAAAGCATATCGAAAAACTGAAATATTTAATGCAAACACATAACTGAGCCAGAAGAGCCAGACACCTGACAAAAAATATGTACACACTTACAATTAATGCTCAGTT